TCCCTACACAGGGTTGCCAAGTGCAATGAGATATGCCCTGGGGCATTTGACCCAACCTGGTAGGTGAGATACAGGCCCTAAGGGAGACCCTACAGAGCAGGAGTCTGGGGGAACACCTATGGCATCACATGTGCTGCTGAATGTTTATTTGGGCAATTGAATGAAATGCCAGTATTTGGCCAACTGAGCAGCTCCACAGATGTTATTGACCAACTAAAATTTCAACACCCACCTCACATGAAGACACCAATGGGTCTACAAGACATGTGGGTGTCTTGATCTGTAGCCAGTCCCCACCCCTGGAGTAACATCGCGGGGGGAATTGCACAGTCCTGTTTCACAAGGGATCCTCAATCTATGCTACTTATCTGATTCTGAACTCTGAAATCACAGAGGAAGATACAGAACTTGATACTCATCAGCCTTCACCTTGTCAAGTCCTGGGCAGTGCTAGTGGAGATCTTTCCTTGCCTTTGATCTCTAGGCAATCTTTCCATGTGCAATCCCTGATCCTGTTTCTGTTGTTGTGTTTTTTTTCTTTTTTTAATGTAGAAATTAAAAAACCAGTTAAGCTACAACTAGTGAACGGTTCAAGTCGCTGTGCTGGGAGAGTGGAGGTGCTTTATGGCCAGCAATGGGGAACTGTCTGTGATGACAACTGGGATATAATTGATGCTGAAGTTGTATGCCGGCAGCTGGGCTGTGGGACTGCTCTATCTGCTCCTTCCTCAGCTTACTTTGGGGTAGGGCCTGACCCCATTTGGCTTGATGATGTGACCTGCAAAGGAACCGAAGCTGCCCTCTCCGAATGCAGTGCAAAACCTTGGGGAAGCCATAACTGTGTGCATGGAGAAGATGCTGGTGTTGTGTGCTCAGGTAAATCCCACTCTGCATGACACAAGTGGGTTTTGTGGGGTGTGGAGAGATGCTGGAGGTGCTGTAGGAGGCCCTGTTCCCTTTGGAGTAGTGCTGACCCCAACAACCAAGACAACTGTAAGATAAAAAGCGATTCATACTGTTAAGCCCTAAAGTGGTCTTGCTTCTTCTCCTTAATTAAAATCCACCACCACATGAGCCACTGGTAAAAGACAGTGGTGCTGCAGGAATTATTTGTAGGGCTCTCCACACTATAGCACGTGGCCAGTAGATGCCTTGGTAGAGCATCCTCTCTCACTGCAAGGAGCAGTGGCTTTGGCAGCCCCGCCATCCCACCCTCATGCCAGTAGACATAGTTCCTTCTGAAGTTCCCCAAAAACTCTTGCATTAAGTGAGGTTCTTCCCTTCACCTGCGTTGTCCCACCCAGCGTATTAGTAGCAGGTCCTCCCATGTAACTGGAGCCCCAAGGTTACACCTCCAAGTCTCCTTTTGTGATTCGCAGAGCCACCCACTCTCCTTCCCCAGTTCATCAGCTGTCTGGTCAAGCAAGAGGCAGCATATGTCACAGCTGGATTACCATTTGGCATTTGCTGGTGGGCCAGTTATGCATATGCTGATTGCTTGGACAACACTGGAAGGAGAAGAGTTGGTTTCCACCTGCCTTTCCTGTAACAAGGTGCTAATTAGTGCTTTTCCTCTGTAACCATATACAGAGTTTTGCAAAGTTTGTAGGGTCTTAATGTATTGAGAAATCTACATTTTGCTCATTGACTTGTGGGTTAACAATGCTTGTCGGCATTAACATGAGGCTGAGAGTGCATAGAGAGTGATTCTGGCACCTCTAGGTATCTAGCACCTTCTGGTGTGTGTTAAGGGACTTGGGACATCTATAAGGGGCTGGCAGCAAGGCACACAGCAGAATTGAAACCCCTTGCAATGACAGACAGAGGCTAGAGCATCTTAAAAGCACTGGACATCCATATTTAAACAAGACTGCAGCTTACCCTCTGCCATCCCCAGTATATTTTAGTTTGTAAAATCCATTGTTGAGCAGCTAATGCTGTGATGGTGAAGGAAGTGCTTGCGTTGCCTCTTTATGCGATGTTTTCCCATGCAAAACTGTGAGAGGTGCTATGTTCATTGCCAGGTGGAGGACAGATGCACCAGACTAAGGGTCTTTTCCAGCCTTAATGGTTCTATGATTCTATGACTCTGCACTAGATACTTTCTTGATTTTTTTTTCCCCCCCTTTTTTTTTTCCCTGTAGGCTTTGCAGAACCTGCCCCGCTTCGATTAGTGGATGGATTGACCCACTGCTCTGGGAGAGTTGAGGTGTTTTATGGCCAGCATTGGGGAACTGTGTGTGATGATGACTGGGACTTGATTGAGGCAGAAGTGGTGTGCAGGCAGCTGGGCTGTGGGAAGGCCTTGTTGGCTACCCATGGGGCTTACTTTGGGCAAGGATCTGGCCCCATTTGGCTTGATGATGTCAGCTGCACAGGAACAGAAGCTGCTGTCTCCCAGTGCAGAGCCACTCCTTGGGGAAGCCATAACTGTGGGCACGGAGAAGATGCTGGCGTGGTTTGTACAGGTACACATCACTCATGGCATGTCATGGGGGAAGTTGTTTCTGAGCAATCCTTTCAGACAGATCCTGAGGCCCAGGTCCTTCAGCACAAATAGGTCTCCCAAAGAAAGTGACGCAGAGTGCTTAAAAGTGCTTTGGAAAAAGATGTGTCTAAACCTAGAGACACTTCTGACCTTTCTTTTATCATTTAAGTCTTTTTCATGGATTGCTTCTGGAGGCCAGTTTGCTACAGCAGACAGAGGAAACACTCATTCTGGGGTGTTTTCTCAGTTCAGCTACTCTTCAACACAATAATTTTGCACTTCTTATAGTGCAATGGTATATAGTGTAGCATGTGGAGTAGGAGGGATCTTCTTGCTGCTACTGCCCAATTCATCCACGGCTGACAGCTCTGGGTCTCAAATGCTACCATTCTTCTTTCTTTTGTTCCTCTCCCTTCACACAGATTCACAAAAATACATCCGTCAGGGATGCCTGTAGGTCTTCCAGTCCACTGCTCTGTCCAGCCAGTCCTGAGCAGTTCCCATCAGCAGTTGTGTAGTCTGAGGAGGAGATATATATCTCAGACCGTAGAAGTGAAAAATGCAGATGTTAAATCTAACAGTGTGGGCTGACTTCACATCTGTGAAGGAAATAGGCACCTCCAGAGAGATTTGTCTGGTTTGTCTCACGCTCCTCAGCACCAGATACCTGATGCTCACCAACACCAGAGCTAGAGAACTTCAGCATCTGATATTAGCCGTCCGCAATCAGCTCTTTCTGCTTTACCAAAATTCTGATCCCAGATGCTAAGACTCCTTAACACAGCCTAGACCATAAGGCAACCCCATGTTCCTGGACCAGTGTTAGTCCACAGGTCCCTGTCCCTTCCCAGCTTAGCTGGCCAGCCCAGTGGTACTGCCCCTAGTCTGGTCCACCACAATAAGAGGCTGCAGGCATAACTGTCATCTTCTGGTGAGATAAAGGTTCCAACAGAGCTGGCTGATTTTAGCAGGGACTAGTCAACAAGAGAGGTCAGCTGGAGACCACTGCTCTAAGGGACTGAAATTGCTGCAAGGGTCTGCTGAGCTGATATGAAAAAATGAGCAATGTCTGTCCATGCCAGACTGATGCAAGGCTCTACCCTGTCAGCACAGATCAAAATACAACAGAGAATTGAGGTCTTCATTATTTCTCAACACAGGATTTGCTGAGCTGCTTCCAGTCCGGCTGGTGAACGGTTCGAGCAACTGCTCTGGAAGAGTCGAGGTGTTTCATGAGCAGCAGTGGGGGACCGTCTGTGACGACAGCTGGGATTTGACAGATGCCCAAGTGGTGTGCAGGCAGCTGGGCTGTGGAACAGCAGTCTCAGTCCCTGGCTCCGCTCAGTTTGGACAAGGAACTGGCCAAATTTGGCTGGATGATGTGAACTGTGCAGGGGCTGAAACCATCCTCACTGAGTGCCGGGCCAGGCCTTGGGGAGACCACAACTGTAACCACGGAGAAGATGCTGGTGTGGTCTGCTCAGGTACCACTAATGCATGTCATGAAATGTGGGGTTCCTGTATTTGTAGGAAGGGTGCCAGTGGCCCTGGACCTCTCCTGAGAACTAGGGTGCTGCTGAATTTTGTTGGCCAGTCCTGATGGCCAGGCTTGTAGATGCTCATGAGGGGGGACTCAGCACCCTCAAATGCACTGTGCCATTTTACACATCATGGACCCAAGCCCTGTTGGCTTCCAGATCCCTGCAAGGAGGGTTTTTTGCCCTCTCCACAGGGGTCTGAGGCGTGCAAAGCTCCTTGAACACTTTGCAATTGTGTTTTGGTCCAGGTGTTGAGGAACCAGCTCCCATCCGGCTCGTGAATGGTCCGAATCATTGCACTGGGAGAGTCGAGGTGTTTCATGAGCAGCAGTTTCTGTCTAATGAAAGAGATGCAACGAGTAAGGAGGACCCTCCCATTGAGTCACGATGTTCAGAGTGGACCCCTTGCTTCTAAACTCTTTCTGGAGCCTAGGTGAGGCTGGGTCCAATCTTTGTCTCAGACTTGGGCAACGGTTTATGTCTAATGGAATTATCCGTGCAATGTTTATGATACTATTTAGTAGCTACATGGATTAGTAATGTTTCATTAGTATTTATTCAGCATCCTATCAGTCACTTACCAAGGATCTGTCACAGGTAAGAGATCTCTCTGCCATGGGTAAGGAAGGATCTCTTAATCTCAGGTAAGGAATCTTTAACATTGAGAAGCATCTCTGCTCAAGGGGAGAATCACATGGCATGCAGTCCAGCTGCAATTCAGGCTCAAATTGAGCCCATCCTGATGGTAATATTTATAGAGTGAACTAGCTGGCTGCTAGTCAGTAGTACAGACAAGACAGATGTCTTTGTTTTAGCTCTGGCATCCTGTTCTGTTCTTTGGTTATCTTGCATTTTTGGGTTTCAAAACCACCTTTTAAAATATTTTTTCAAGGTACCTTCACTTCCTTGTATGTCAGCCAGGGCCTTTCGAGCTCACAAGTTCACCGCAAGGACATGAGGCCTGTTGCTCCTTAGTAAGCCTCAACCAAAGTACGGCTAGGAGTCAAGTGTATACACCACGATCTCCCAGAAGTGGTGAACTTTTGCCTTGCCCTTGCAGGAGACAAACTGCTTTCCTTGGGTTGCTTCCCCACATCTTGAAAACACCCTGTGGATTCACTGACTAAACACAGACGCCTGTCTCTGAATTAAATTAAACATTCTGCTGTCCCTTTGCAGCCAGTGAGGACTGAGTCAGTGCAGTCAATGGCAGGATTTGGCCCATCCTGATGCAGATGCCCAAAGCAGATTCAAGAAGTTGCAACCCAACAGTGCTCATTTCCTTCATTTGACTATAAAGGGTACCGAGGGTCCTCAGCAGAGTTGTAAAAGTGAGGATCAGTTGCCTAAACATAGGTGTCTAGTGCCATCTGAGATGTCCCACCCAGTCTCTAATTGCAGAGCCAGAAGGGTGCCAATCTCCCTTGAGTCCCGCATCAAGTCTGCTAACTCCATTGCGTTGTGCTGTTTGGGCACAGGTATCTTTCTTGTCAAAGACAGAGGGGGAAAGAAGTCCTTGGTTTTGGACAGCACCTTTCCTTGACTTTTGGGAAAACAGCTGCACTGAACTTTCTTTCTCCATGCTGCTTGTTCCTGTAGATCGTACTAAGCTAACGGATACACGCTGCGTTTACTGACATGGCTAGCAGGACCGTGTTTACCAGAATAAAACTTACCTGGTCTTACCTTTTTGGTTCAGGTGTTCCAGAACCAGCACCGATCCGAGTAGTGAACAGTTCGAATTTCTGCTCTGGAAGAGTCGAGGTGTTTCATGAGCAGCAGTGGGGGACCGTCTGTGACGTGGGATTGGATTTGACAGATGCCCAAGTGGTGTGCAGGCAGCTGGGCTGTGGAACAGCAGTCTCAGTCCCTGGCTCCGTTTGGGCAACAGGGGCTGAAACCATCCTCACTGAGTGCCGGGCCAGGCCTTGGGGAGACCACAACTGTAACCACGGAGAAGATGCTGGTGTGGTCTGCTCAGGTACCACTAATGCATGTCATGAAATGTGGGGTTCCTGTATTTGTAGGAAGGGTGCCAGTGGCCCTGGACCTCTCCTGAGAACTAGGGTGCTGCTGAATTTTGTTGGCCAGTCCTGATGGCCAGGCTTGTAGATGCTCATGAGGGGGGACTCAGCACCCTCAAATGCACTGTGCCATTTTACACATCATGGACCCAAGCCCTGTTGGCTTCCAGATCCCTGCAAGGAGGGTTTTTTGCCCTCTCCACAGGGGTCTGAGGCGTGCAAAGCTCCTTGAACACTTTGCAATTGTGTTTTGGTCCAGGTGTTGAGGAACCAGCTCCCATCCGGCTCGTGAATGGTCCGAATCATTGCACTGGGAGAGTCGAGGTGTTTCATGAGCAGCAGTGGGGAACCGTGTGTGATGATGGCTGGGATACAGCTGAAGCCAGCGTTGTGTGCAGGCAGCTGGGCTGTGGGGCAGCACTGTCAGCCCCTGGTTCAGCTCATTTTGGGCAAGGGCCTGACCCCATATGGCTGGACAATGTGAATTGCTCAGGGAACGAAGCTGCCCTCTCTGAGTGTAGGGCCCAGTCTTGGGGGTCCCATAACTGCAAGCATGGAGAAGATGCTGGTGTGGTGTGCTCAGGTAACGCTTCTCTGTGTCTCAGTCTCAATGGTGTTGGGAAACATGGAGGAAAGATTTTCACCTTTGGTGGAAAGTCTTCTCTGAGCTCATGCTGCTCCTAGTGTGTGCTATTAACAATAAGCCCATTCTTGTGTAATTTATGCAATGCTCATGGTCTTGGCCATGGCCAGCAGTCACCAGAGTCTGATCCAGAATTACGGAATTACCATCAGCAAGCCCCAGACTGATAGCTGTATCAAGGTTTGTATCTCAGCTCCTGAACGCTCCAAGACTTTTCCAGGGCTGGACAGGTCCCAGAAACATCCCATTCCTTCTGAGGTTCAGGCTTGTGGTGTCATATAGACAGAGTCACCTCCCAGACTACACTTTTACATGAAGATCACATGTAAACCTAAGCAGTGTTGTCAGCAAGTCTTGGTCTCTGGCTGATTGCGAAGTCTGTTTCACGCTATCATGAGAAGCAATAAAATGTCCCATTTCAGGATTCATAGAGAACTGTAGAAACCTGAAACCACTGAACATCTCTTTACAGCACTTGTATCTAAGTGCTTTTTCAGTTTTCTCTCCAGTGTCTCTTGCAATCTGCAGTCCTGAAGAAAACTCCTGCTTTGTCAAAGCAATTGGGAGGCTCATGGGATAATTCAGTTTGAAGGGACCACAGGAGGTCTCTACACCAGCCTCCTGCTCAAAGTGAGGTCATCTATGAGGTCAGACCAGCAGGTCTTTATCCAGGCTCAAAAACCTAGTCTAATAGTCTTTCAGGGCAATCCTAAACAATCCCAATATTTTCCTTAAAAGCAGGCATTCTGTTTTCTCAACGTGTAGCCATTCTTTCCTATGGTTTTAGAATATCAGAGTGAGAAGCTAGCAGAGCTTTCCTGGAGTCCCTCCTTCCTACCATGAAGAGCTTTGAGAAAATTCAGGAGAACTCAATGCTCTTTCAAGAGGAGTGATCTCCCCTACCATGAACATAGCAAAGTACACGCCTGCTGCTGAGCTGGTTCAAATGCTGTCAACCAGTGCTGGGTTCTCACCTATGGACAGGACAGACCTGTTGTTAAAAATCTAATTTTAACCTCCCGTTTTGACTAATTTTATTTGGCATGCTGCTTCAGGGTGGGAAAGGGTTGGCTGATGCTTTTTGAGAACATTTATTGTCCAATTCAGCTGGTTTTACCATGAGAGTTTTCAAGGAAGTGTGTCTATTAATATACATTACCATAATCTGTTTCTCCTAGCAAATTATCTAGAACACATATGGTGAATATTGCAGTAACGGGAGTAAAATGTGTAAGGCCAAAAGAAAGTTTCAGCAATAAGGGCATTGGCCAGTCTGTTCACTGCTGGACATTACGAAGCTTCACATAAGTGAACCAGTTTATTTGGGCATGCATCAGGTTCCTGGACATAGGTACCCAACGCTATATAAGACACCTAACAGTATGCAGACATCTCCATGGGGCTGGCTGATACGACCCTGGAGCTATGAGACCCACCCCCTTCCGACATGACAGCTGGAGGATGGCAAGAATGCCCCAGCACATCTCAAATGAGAAGAGACACCTAATTGGAGGCTCCTGAATTGCTCCCTTTGTACAGGTTTTGTCTGTAGATAACATTAGATTTTTATTTCAGAGCTCAGCCCAACAGATTGCTATTTATACAGAGCAGGCACAGGGTCCCATGGCACCGTAGCGTCAGCAGTGATTCAAGCAAACCATCTGAAACATGTCTGCTGGGAAGGGATGCATTAGCATGTCTTACTGGCTGGGAGACTGAAATACAACTCCCAGTCCTAACTGGGACATTTCTGCCAGTCTGTGGGCAGTGCAGAGCCACATAGACTTTGGGGTAACCCTCAGTGGACACCCAAAACGTCCTCTTTAGCCATCCGTTGTTCATCCATGGGACACCCTGCTTGGCACTCATCCCTTACAATGTGTCAGCAGGGTTCAGGTGCAGTGTGTTTGTGTGCATTTACTTTTTTCGGTTGCTTTTTGTGCAGGTACTCCAGAAGTTCCTCCTCTCCGGCTGGTGAACGGCCCCACTCGTTGTGCCGGGAGAGTTGAGGTGCTTCATAGCCAGCAGTGGGGGACGATCTGCGATGACAGCTGGGACTTGAGTGATGCTGCAGTGGTGTGCCAGCAGCTGGGCTGTGGCACGGCCATGTCTGCCCCAGGTTCAGCTTATTTTGGGCAAGGTTTTGGCCGTATCTGGTTGGATGATGTGAAATGCTCTGGTAGAGAATCAGCCCTCTCCAAGTGTGTGGCAAGGCCTTGGGGAGTCCATAACTGTAATCACGGAGAAGATGCGGGCATTGTATGCTCAGGTAACCTTCATCCATGTCCCATCCTACTAGGCATTAGTCAATACTAAGCTTCTAGGCTGGATCTTGGGCCTGGTGGCTGTTTATCCTTTCCCAGTCTAACCCTCTTGTCTTTTAGACAAGTACCACAGGGTGACGTTGGAGGCGTGGAGTTGAAGCTTGGTGTTTTGAGGGATGATTCCCATCTCTCGATGTGGCAGCTCATTTTTGCTATTTGCCTTTTTTAAATATCACTAAATACATGCATGCTAGTAACTGTCAGTGGCTTGTCAGGCTTAATCGAGCTGCTTTTACAGGTCTGGATTGCATACATTTCCTTCCAGGTGGGATCTAAACCTCACAAACATTCCAGAGTGGAGAAGAGAGATGATATTGCCAGACAACCTGAGTATGACGTTCATTTAACCCAAACAAAAGTGATTTCTGAAGTCCAAAGAGCATGCAGTACAGAAGCAAACAACTGAGACTCAGACCTATCGCATTCAAATGCAAGCACCCAGCTGACGTGCCCAAATCAGGGGCATCTTTGCCCTGGGAACCTCTTCAGTTAATGAAGACAGAGAGGCACTTGCATGGGGCAAGACAGCCCAGCTACCCTCTGAATCACCTCAGACAACTCTCACTCCCCTGGCTGTAGAAGGAGCTTTGGGTGATGTTGTGTCTAATTTGGGTACCTCTGTGCATGCCTGCACGTGGTCCCACTGGCCACAATTCCTGCCACAAGAGAAGTTTCCAGCCATCTTCTCTCAGGGGTGGAGGGAATATTTGGAGAACACTGTTGGGCACTTGAAGTCAACTTGAATCCTTGCAACATGTCACATTAGCATGCCTTCCCTGCCCAATAGGTTATACAGTTCCCATGCCAGTTCATCCTCTCCTGCTAATATTGCCTCTAATCCATAAAAGTTGTCTTGTGCTGATGGTAGGGATACAGTATATAAACAGTTGGCTCTTGCTGTATGCACTTGGACAGCCCTGGGGAGCCAGCACCCTTCCCCCAGAAGTGTTCAGTTACTGCAGTGAAGTCCTCACCTAGCTTGCCCTCTCATAAGTAAGAAAGACAGGCTGAACCTCGTGGCCCTCTGAGACACTCCCTCCAAGCCTTAAACCATTTCTGTGCCTCTTCTCACCTCCTGTTTTAAAAAAAAATGCAGATGTGTACCTGAACTTCCTGTTCCTGTGAGTCTGTGATGCTCTGTGTTGTGGTCAGGTCACTACCAGCTTCATCTCATTTCTGCCCCCCCAGAGCCACACTGAACTAGGGCACCTCCCAAACGCATGATGATCTGAGCTGCTTTAGACCTGCTTTGGAATGGGGTAAACTGGTCTGGGGGGAGGTGGGGGAGAGGACCCAGTCATCTGTCCTTCCTGTAAAACTAGCTTGAGTTGGCCAACAAACACGGAGACACCCAATATCAATATTGAGCTAAAGACCTTTGCTCTTTGCTTCGTTGGCATTAAAGTATTCATGTTGCGGCGAGAGGCACAAAGCACATTGCTTTTTGGAAAGCAACAAATCACAAAAAAATTCTGTTGGAGGCTGTCTTGATTGGACATCCCTGAAATGGGAAATTATGCACTTAGAAAGTGCCAGCTTCGGTCTGTGGGAAAAGTGAAGGAGGAACAGGAGTGAATTGTTCCCTATGGGGAGCAGTTCCCCAGTTCCCCCCTTAAGGAGTGACAGACAAACCTTCAGAGGTAAGCTTGTGTTGTGCAATGTTCAATACCCTTCCCAAGGCTCTTATGGCTGCCCTTGTTACTCGTCTGAATGGTAGCAGAGGCAAATGTTTCTCTGCAGACCTGAGAAATGGTATGCTGTCATACCATTGGTATAAATATTCATCATATTGGACCAACAGGTCCTTGCCAGATAGGTGCTCAGGCAACAGAGGTCCACAAGCAATTTATGAGACAGCTGAACAGATGTTCAGTTTTAGGGGAACTTTATTGATACTTTGTGATGTTTGCTTTTCAGTAGGAATAATGTGTTAAGCTGGGTTTTCCATCAGTGCAATTATAACCAAGTTTGTAGATCCTTCAAAGGATGAGAGAGAACGGTTTTGCCAAATCCTGGATCCCGTTATGGCACACTGATGGTTCTGCAACATCCCTGCCCTTCGCCTTCTCAGCTGAATCTTGCTGGCCCATCTTCCTGTGGCAAGATGAGCATGGTCCAGTGGGGCACTCACGGTGCTTCTGGCTCCTCCAGGTTCTTGTTAACTGCAGAGAAAGGGAGGAAGGTAAAGCAAAATCTGCTCCCAGGAACTGTCTGACACCAGAATTGCCTGCTAGAAGTGACAAGGACTCTGCTCCTGAAGAAGGTCTGCAGGTTGGGTTATACCCATATATTTGAGGCTGTTGGGAGCCCAACACCTGAGCTTTGAACAGGGCCCTGTGGGAGCCAGGACAGGACTGCATGAAGCGCAGACTCTGACCCTGATGCACAACGCACTGCTTGATCCAGAGGACTGCAGCACATGGTCTTGACAGCACCCTGTGCAGCACCCAGGTGAAATCCAAGCTCCTACAGCCCTGCTCCTCCGTAATGAAACCAGCCAAAGACTCCCAAGGATTCCTCCCTTCACCCATGCAGGGCCTGTCTAAGCTTCTCTCCCAAGAAATAGGGCAAGAGAAGTCAGGAACTCAGCTCCCAAGAGCTTCAGAGAGTCCAACTCAAACATTTACTTAGTATTGATGATGTGCTGATACAGAGGCATCTTGCCCCAGACACTGTTGCCCCCACAGGTGCTTGTTGTTACCTTCTGCCCCAGAAACTGCCCTACCTTCCCTCTTTCTGCCCTTTGGGAGCCTTGCCCTATACAAAACCCCCTTGTCAGCATCCCCCTAGCAGGATCCATCCCATAGTCTGACTGTCACTGGTGTGTTTGCCTCTAGTCTGCTGATGCTCCTCTCCCACCAGCTGGTCCCACCACATCCATCCTAAACAGATGCTCTATATTCCTTACAGCTCCCTGCTGTATCCATTTCCCTGCCTCCACCAGCATTATCCTGAGCTGGGGGGAGCCTTCCTGCCCTGTGATTTCCCCTCTGTACCCTGCAGTCCAGCCTGCTGGCTCTGCTAGAAGTGTTTGACCCTGTCCCCACATCACTTCAGATGCCACGGTGATGGGTAGTTACCTGCACAAACAACATCAGCGTCCTCTCCGTGATAGCAGTTGTGTTCACCCCATGGCCTGGCCTGACAGTCAAAGATGCTCTCTTCCGTCCCATTGCATTCGACATCGTCCAGCCAGATGACGTCTGGCCCTCGCCCATAGCGGGCACCTCCCAGAGCCGACAGTGGTGACCCGCAGCCCACCTGCTTGCACACCACCTTGGCGTCCTTCATGTCCCAGTGGTCGTCACACACACTGCCCCACCGGTTCTCATGGAGCACCTCGACTCTCCCAGCACACTTGTTCGGGCCATCCACGAGCCGGACTGGCCCCTCCTCAGGAATGTCCACCTCTGCACCAATGCCCAGAAAATAAATGTTAAGGGAGCGTCCTACGCACCCCACCACCTGTGGAAATCTTGCCTGCTCGGCAGAGGCTCGGGTGTCTCTGAGCACACTGGCAATATGGCAAGGGCTGGGCTTCTCTGGGGTTGGAAGGAAGACAGGGAGAGGGGCTGTGGAAAAAGAGCAGGAGAAAGCTTTCCTGGTCTTCATGGATGGCTGCACGCTCTACTGTGTGTCTGCTTCAAGGAGTCTGCTGATGCTAATCACTCTGCAGCCCAGAGGTGGGAAAGGTACCAGAGCAGTCTCAGTTAGGAGAGGATTTAATGCTGCCCCTGGCTCAGCTACATCTATGTGTCCCCCCTGGGTCATTGGGCAAGCACTGCACCCAATGATGGGATGAGTTAATCAGCTGCATTTGTCTCTTGTTCCCACCAGCAGACATCCACAGAGCTCCACTGGGGCTCGGGACCAGCCCTGAATCAGGCAGGGGTCATATGTGCGGTGGGATCTGCCCATCCTACTGCCAGTACATGCAGGATGGGAGATGGAGGGGGTTACCTGAGCACTCCACGCTGGCATCTTCCACGTGGTTGCAGATGTTGTCTCCCCACGGCTTTGCCTCACATTCGGTGAGGGATGCTTCTGTTCCTGTGCAGTTCACATCGCTCAGCCAGATCTGGCCCTTCCCTTCCCCGTATTTTGACGCTGGAAGGGCTGATAGCGCCGTCCCACAGCCCAGCTGACGGCACACAACCTTTGCCTCCCGTAAATCCCACTGGTCATCACAGACGGTCCCCCAGACGTCGTTGTGAAGCACCTCGACTCTCCCAGAGCAGCGGTTGGGGCCACCCACCAGGCGAACTGTAGTGGAGACGGTGATCCCCGAGTCTGCAGACACATCCAGAGAGCGCGTGCTCAGACCGTGCATTGGTGTTTGTCCCCCCTCTTCCCCAAGCCTCTTCCCTCTTCCCTGCCCTGCCCACAGCAGCCTCTCCTCCATAGCTTTCTCCGCATACGACATGCAACTGTCCAAGCAAGAAGGACAATGCAGTCTTTTAACCTCAAGCCTGAGCTGAAGAAAAATGACCACAGAGCACCTCAGTGAGCAGAGAGGAGAGAACCTCCCAGACTGAAGCCCTCTTTCATCACATAAGGACCCCAGGCCACCAGCAGGACTCTTAAGTTAGCACCAACTCAGTAGGGGAGTGCTCTGTAGGAAGGCCTTGTTCCTGTCCAAGGTTGTGCCCACGTTGACTGTGAGGACATCCTAACACATGGCTGGCAAAAGTGGGAGAATGGAAGGATTACCTGAACAAACTGCGCTGGCATCTTCCCCATGGTAACAATTGTGCTCCCCCCATGGCCTTGCTGGGCACTCAGAGAGAGCAGCTTCCACCCCTGTGCAGTTCACATCATCCAGCCAGATGGTGTCAAATCCTCGTCCAAACTTGGCTCCAGTGGGGGCCAGCACTGCATCCCCACAGCCCAGTTGCTTGCACACAACTTGGGCATCATTTAGATCCCAGTCGTCATGGCACACGCTGCCCCACTGTTCTTCATGAAGTACCTCAACCCTCCCAGCACATCGGTTCGGGCCTCCCACCAGCCGGATTGGCCCGGGCTCAGGTATTTCTGTTCCTGCAAAAATCAAATGAGGGAGAAGTTTTGGGACAAGTCTCTGTGCCCCTGGTCACCT